TGTTTTTCTTGATCTTGTAAACATGCAAGACATCCTTCAATCTGGTCCTCCTCGTTTGTCCTCTCACAAAAATCTCCACTATAATGGAGCCTATTCCAATAGCTTGTACCATGCCATTGTCTTCCAAAAAGACATTTGTTGCTGAAATTTGTTCATAAGTGTTAAATGAATACTTGTATGGTGTCATGTACTTAGTGGCACCTCAGTCAACAATCCACTTGAATATGGCAAACATGGAAGTGCCTTCACTTGCCATGAATACAAAATAATCTCTTCCAAATTACTCATATACATTATTAGTACTTTCTCTATCTCACTTTTGGCCTTGTAGCAATTTTGTATAAAATAACCTGATTTTCCACAAATAAAGCAAGTTTTGACATTATCTCATTGATATAAAAGATTGCCCTTGCTTTGACATAAGTAGAGTGTTGAATCTTCACTTTGAAGCTCTTTTTCATTCCTCTAGGTTACTTTATTGACGAGTCTGGTCGTCACGTAGTCTATTGTAAGTTCTTTCAACTTAATGGACTCCCAATGTCACAATGAGGTAGTTGTAGGACTTATGAAGAATCATCAGCAAGGTCATGACAATATTACCTTCTTCTAAAGGCTTTTCAACAATTCTTAATTGATTTGCAAGAGCCTTTATCTTATTAACATGAACCATGAAATATTCATCTTCTTCTATTTTACAAGTGAAGAACTTCCTGCTTGTGAAGATGATGTTAGATAAGTTCTTATTCTCATATATGTTATAAAGAATCTTCTATGTTTTTGCTGGTCCTTTGCAAGAGATGATGTAAGAAAAATTGGCTTCATCCAAATTAGTGGAAATTATGCCAAAAGCCTTCTTTTCACGTCTTTTGAAGTCCTTCCTCTCCTTAGCATCTGCATGTATGCTTGGAGCCTCTTCACTTTCATCTACAATATTCTAAAGGTCCAAAGACACCAACAAAAGTTCCATTTGACCTTCCAATGGTAAAAATTCTCTCTTCTAAACTTCACAATTACTTTCAAATCTTCACCTTGATTAGAGGCCATGTCTAAAAAGAGCTCTATTAAAAAATATCAAGAAAATGAGTCATTGTGAGCTTGAAATCATCAAAACAATTTAATACTAGCAAAATCTCAAAATGCCTTCTTGTGAACAAATGAATGTTTTCTCACTCAAAATACTCACAATTCAAGCTCTGAAGCTTTTAATAAGTATATATATTCTTATAAACCTCACTATCAAGAGCTCTCACTCTTTTGAATCAACTATTTCACTATACATACAAGGTAAGTAAAACAACATGAGCAAAAAAAAGATACTATCAAGGCCTTTTTATAACATCTTAAAGTCTCAATCTTAAAAGATAAGAATCTACAAAGCAATATTAGAGATTTATAAGGTCAAAAGCAGCACATCTTCATATCCAAAACATAAGTTTCAATCTTAAAAATTCTAATATTAGCAAATACTATAAGACCTATTCTAGACAAATACAACCACAAGATAATGGCGCTAACTTACTTGAATGGCATAACAAAGTGTGAATGGGCCCATAACCTATTGAAGTAATATAATAAGCAAGATATAAGTAAGTAAAAATCAGTAAGGTTGCACACAAGAAAAGTGTGAAATGAGATACCTGCCACTTCCAACACTCTTTACTTATAGGTGGTGGTTGCTAATCAATGATGTAACTTCCATCTTTTTATATTACATCTATTTCTACTTCATCCAACTAAATCCTAGGTTCTTCGTTAACCTAGCTGCCACTTAAACCTTAGTCGCCACCTTAATTACATCTCTTCATCTTTTTATTGCCGTTTAACCATTAGCAACTTACTTAAGATAATACTTACTTACTTTACCATGCATATGGTAATATTTATTTACTTTAATAAAATCCACTTTATTTTATTGGTGATTGAATTTTGATGTTTTAGACAATCTCTAATCTGATGGCTTGGCTATTGATAATAAAAATACAATTTTTTTTGCACCAATATTTGTTGTCTTTGTAGTGTTAATGATCCTTGTAGGGCATCAATCTCTAGTGGCATTGGTTGTTGTGCCATAGTATTAGATAACAACATAAGACTTCATGTAACACAGAGCATATTGTTGGACTCCATTATTATAATGCCTTCTCACCTTCCGATTGACTTCTTAGGAAGAACTCATGATAGCCTCAAGACAATATCATGTGTAACCACAATAATTGACCTCAAACTAGATGATGGCTATCAACACACTACCAAAGAATAATCTAACATTTGCTCTATTATTAATAAAACAAGACCAGTTTATCTTAAGCGTCTAAGACTCTTCTAATCCATAGCCAAGTAAAACCTCATTACAAAGTAGGACAAATGGACCAAAACTCAATTGAATAGAACTCAACAGAATAGGATACAAAAGACAAAATTATGTAAATAAAAATAGAATAAAACAAAACTAAGCATAAAGGTGTAAAACCAAACTTTATTAACAGAAAAGGTCCAAAGCTATACCAGATCAAATACCTAGAAGGCCTTGCCTACTCCTATTTATACTTTGTTCTACCACCTTGGACTTTTTAGAATGTTTCTTGATAATAGATCCTACTTAGATAATTACCTTAAATTCCTTCTAAAAGATTCTATAGTAGATTCTACGTACATAACCACCTTAAGCTCTTTCTAGAATGTTCTATGGTAGGTCCTATATAGTCCACTAATCTAACTCCAATTCTAGAAACTTCCATAACTTTTAAAATATATTTCCAATTATCTAGTCTTATGTGTGAATAATATAAATATCTTATCTATAATCTATTACAAATATATATATAGGCTTGTCCATAGCATCCAAAAAAGTAGCATGGTTGAACAAATTTGCATGTGATTTTAAACTTCAAATCAAAAAATCAATTCCAATATATTGTGACAATGAAGAAAGTATCAAAATAGTAACAAATCCAAATATCAACCTAAAAACAAAGTATATAGCCACACATTATTATTTCACAAGAGAAAAAATAAAAACAAAAGAGATTAAATTAATCTATGTGCCTTTTCTTGAGCAAATAATTGACAACCTCACCAAATCCTTGGAATGTGATCTATTTGATAAATTTAAATCAAGATTGAATATCATTCCTTTAGGAGGAGCACAATCCTGACAAAACTACTCTTTTTTCATTTTCTCTCTCCATAGCTCTTTTTTCATTTTCTCTCTCCATAGCTCATAGTTACAGGCATCAATTAGCACATCCAACTCAATAGAAAATAAATTATCACTTTATCCTCTCTCACATACTACACCTTCCTTAAAATCAAGTAACTATTTTTTTCCAAGTATGAGACTCTACCCTCAATGATGAAATGAACCTTGAACATCTAAAAACAATCAAAATAAATTCCTTCACAAGCTAGAGTCACAGAGTACACATAGTTTCTTAGTAAGTACCAAAATTGATGATTTCGTAGTGAAGGGGGTGTTAGAATATCAATCCCTACTTCATCATCTAACGATGAATATTCTATGGATGACCTGAGATCCGACATTTGTGCCGAATGCTCAGATCTCTATACACATGTACTTAAGCCTGTGCTAGCTCAGTCTTGCTGAAAGTAAGTAAGCCCCTTTCTGTTTTGTTCTTTCATTTATTGTTCTCTCAGGTTACAAGGTTTGTGGAAATCTTCCCATCATCAACCTCCAGGGCTTCGTTGCAACTCACAGCTGAATCAACTGGAAAACATGCAAATGCATCATGTTAATAAATCTCCACTGCCATTGAAATAAGTTCCCGACAGCATGACAATCATCGCACATGACTAAATTGAAATCTCAATTGATGTCTACATTCATTGGGTATTGAGGTGGAAAATTGTTTCGACCCTACTCGAGAGGGAGTAGTTACACAGGAGCTCCCTAACTGATGAAAAGGAGCCTCTTGCATTGTTCACAACACCTGCCGCCAGTAGATCTAGATCCTTGACGCTAAATAAATACGTCATGGTATCCACATTATGTACTTACGTAATTTGAGTGTGAAGAAATCAACACCTCTCTTAAAAAAGTTGAATGCGGGAGAGATTAAATCTCACTACTACGTGAAAAACTAGTACTGTCATCATTGACATGCCCTTCATTTAAGAAGCTTCCAAGGAGAAGAAAACATATTCGGCGAACCTCCAGAGAAGAACAAACTGAATTTTTTCCTCACCTCAAGCGTAGCATGAACAGTTCACGCCTTCTGCTGCTTCGACTCTCCAATGTTAAACTCCAATCCCTTGAATGGTCACAGAGATCTGCCAAGCCTCACTGTAAGAGGGTGGCCAGTAAATTGCCAGATATAAAAACCCACACAACTGTCTACCTTGCTCAACAAAGGAACACGCAATGTCTGCTAAGGCTGTTCCTCACTGTCAATGCCATATAGAAACTCACATTGCGAGACGGGCTTCGCATCGCCTTCAGTAACATGGACATGTTACGCTTCCACTGCTTTAAGATAACTGCCATCATTCTCCCTTCCTTAAAGGTGAGTAATGCTTATCCATGGGAAACACGGTAAGGCAGCCCGCAGCTCTGCATCGATCACAACATTGCTGTTTCTCTAGTAGATTTTGCAATGCTGGTGCATTTTTCGTTTACTTGTTTTGCATTCGGGGCTTCTTGGCATGACTTGAAAGCATTCTGTGGGTGCTCCGGTTTATGTGCTGTAGTACAACTGCTACCCAGAAATGAATCCCGCGTGGCAAACTGCATAATTACTGCCCGGTTTAGGTAACCATTGTGGAATGAACTGGCACGTCATCACATATGCTAAAAATACTGTAGACGTGTGAGAGTCGGTGAGCGGTTTCCTGACGTTATAAAATTCACTTGGTTTTCTTCTCGTTCCGGATTAACTATCGTTGAAAGTTGAACGGTAACTTTGTTGGGTTCGTTAGGGTTACGTCCTAGGTGCGTCGTCGAAGATATGCCGGTGGATTTGGTAATGAGTCAGGTGCAAGTTTTTGCTGATTGAGGTCGACTATCTGTAATCCTGAAATTGTTATTGAAATTGGAGCTGAGGATGCTACAGAGGGCGTGAGAGTCGTAGATGCCCGAGTTTATTGCAATCTTTTGTTGTGCAGTAACCTAGAATTCGCAGTCTTTTGGACTTAGGGTTTTGGGTTATTGTTGAGTTGGTAGTGATTGCAGTGCTGAGGCAGTGCGAGTGATTTGGAAGTAGATTGTTGTCACGATGGGGAAAAAGGGTAAGGGACGCAAGAGAAGGGAAGCCAACTTCAAAGCGTCGCATCCCGATGCGATGCCTCGTCTTGCCCCGCCTCCTGATTTAAAGGATATTAACGCGGTTCCTGCGAAACTGAGGAAAATTATGCAGTTCAAAGAAATCGGGAATCTGGGTAGGTGCAATTGTGTTTGCGAGCTATTTCTTATGAAATGCGTGAATTGAAATTAGACAATTGTATAGTTGCACCTTGAAATTAGGCCTCTTGCAGTGTCCAAATATGAGAATCTGCGCCTTTGACTGCCCCGAGTTGCTTACACGTTAAGCTGGTGTTATATGAGATATTCTAGATTTCTCATTTTCTTCGATTGCGATAATTTCTTCACACTCTGTTTCCAAGTGATGAATTACGGCGCTGATTTACTGAGACTGGTGTCTGTAGCGACTGCAATTTTTGAGTCCACGAGCCCTAGGCTGCATAAACACTATATCTTTGACGTGACTGAGCTGGTGTTTTGTTGTTATTATTATTGTGGTCAGTCAACAAACATTCTGGAGCTACTATCGGTCACAGCAAGAATCAAGGAAAGGTCAGCATTGCATCCTTTTGGTTCTCTTGCATTGTGGATTTTTATGTAAACTATTAGAGCAGACAAATGGAGTGCGAACCAGTGTAATTTATATGCTTGTTGACAATTACGTGCACAAATATGAAATTGGAGCACCAGCATTAGATGGGGTTTGGGATATGGACTAGTAAAAGGCAAGTTTTAGAAATCCTCTCTGATCTCAAGTTACTGCTCTCTTCTCTTCTTGTAGTGAGTTTGAGGAGGCTGAATGACAGATTTCTAAACGAAACGACCTGGATTTTTCCTTAAGCTTTGGAATACTGCTTCATCTGTGTTCATCGCGATGTGTGAAGTTTACGAAGTATCTATTTAGTGCAGGATTTTAAAGACTCTAAAGAGAAGAAAGTAGGAGCACCAGGAACAAAAGTTGATGATAAAAAAGCAGCACCAGCATCAAACAATCCTACACAAGGAACAGTAAATGGAGAAGCAGCCGAGGAAACCCCCAAACCTTTGAGTAAGAGAAAGCGAGAACACGAGGAGCTACTACAGCTTGCTGAGAAGATCAAAGCTCCCTCAGCTCGAGCAGGAATAAGTGAGAAGAGGAAAAAGTAAGAGATCTTCTAATCTTAGTTTCTGATTAGAAGGTTCTCAACCCAGAAAGTGAGCTATGAAATTGATGCAACTTGGCTTGGTAATGATGAGTGGGTGATGTCGCAGACTCCATGAGCCTTGCAGCATTGATTTGCTGTGCGAATAACAGGTTGTCTTAGTGGGCTTGCTTCTTGAACGACTTGGAATATTTCAATTTTGACCTATTGGGGAGTTCGTTTTGCATCTGAGCAGATACTTAGAAGAAAAAAAGAAGAAGAAGCTAAAGAATTCGGATGTTCAGGCCCTGCTCAACCAACCTAAACGTGACCACGTTAAGTTTGGGGATATAGTGCAGGCACCTCCAGAGCTATCCTTTCCTGAAAGGAACAAGAACAAGGTTAGCACGTTGCACCTTTCCTGCAGAATTTTTTAATTAAAATTTTTTCTTCCTTTACTTTTTTACCTTTGGAATTCTGATCTACACCAGGAATGTAGTTGGTCGCAAATAGTTGTGATGTCACAGGTCAATTTTTTGTCTGTATGATTCTGCCTCTATCAATTATTACAACCATATTTTTCTTATTGCATTTAAATAATAAAGCAAAAGGTGGGTTCTCTGTGTCAATGCAGATTCTAACAAAAGAACCTAAAGCAGCATCAGTCGAGCGAATGAGGTTAGAAGTTATAGAAGCTTATCGACAACGGAAAGGAACAAAATCAGGGCTTGGGAGAGGGCTTCCTGTGCTGGTGCCAAATGCTGATGAAAAAGATTAATAAAGATTTGATTGTTCTCTCATTCACCGTCTGTAGTGCCTCCTTTACTTGACTTATTATTCCAGAATCACGCAATTTGGTGACTTTTATTTGTCAATAGAAGAGTTACCAGCAAATCTGGTTGTTGAAAAATGTGTGCTTATTTTTCTTAGTCATGTGCTACATCCTGCCGCATATATGCTTAAATGTAAACTGAATGCTCCTCCACTGTGCATCCTAATTAATTTTTGAATTTTGTTGAAACCTCTCAATGAGAATTCAGAATTTGAATCGGAATTTTACACCCAGCTTAACTTGGACTTCTGAAATTTCTATTCGAAAGCAGTTTTTTTTTTTCCATTTGCATTTTGCATTTTGTACTTTATAACGTTCTGGAATCAACAGTGGGTTGACTTTGTGTTGACCCACAATGAATTGAATAGATGGGTGTAAAAGAATATCCATGTGGTCAGTCACACTAACTATCTCAATGTCCTCAAATTAGCTGAAATCTGCAGTCTTTTTTCTCAGTAAATCTACGTCTATCAAGACTTATGGAGTAATGAATACATAAAGTTCTATTTTAGGAGGGATTCTCATGTCTCTCTTGCGCATATGAACTGGAGTGAGTAAATTCTGGTAATGTTATATATATATATATATATATATATATCATAAAACAAATAATTGGTAATAATCGTGATAAATTTAACTATTATCTTATTTATTATGTTTAAGTTGAATGAAATAGAAGATAGTCTTCAAATATAAGGGTGGAAAATTCCATATTAGGTTATTACAACAACATTAGTTCTTATTAGACATGATGCATTTTTATAAGCTACATGTTCTGGTTAACAACTACAACAATTTTTACTAATGAATAATCTGATATTTTGAATTGTTACACTGAATGTTTTTTAAACAATATTATATATATATATATATATATATATATACATAGTATTAAATTACATAAAAATTATAAATATTGCTAATCTTATTTTTAAAAAACATAGTAATTGTTTGATCTATAGTTCAATCTAATGGCTTTTTTCTTTTTAAAAAAAAAATTAAAGCCATTGTAAAAAAATAAAAATAAAAGTATAAAAGAAAAAAGTATAAAAATAAATAACTTTATAGAAAACATAAATCATTGATTTAAATGTAGTTTTTTTTATACAAAAGGTCAAATCTACATACTATAAGTGAAACTATTTTTAGATACATAGCATTGAATTAATTATTCTTATCATTGCAAATCTAACAAGAATAAACCCTTTTTATTTTTTTATTTTTATTTTTGGTAAGCTATATTGATGCTGCAAAATCCACATAAGAAAATCTATTGGCTTTTAGTATATCTATGAAGAATATTATTTATTATATTAGTATTGAGCCAATTACTATTCAAAAAAAAAAAAAACAATGGATGATAATTAAAGTGTATTTTTTTATAAGAATTATCAAGGTTATTAAAACAAGTCCTCTTAACATGAATAAGGTTCAAATAAGATACATATTTTGTATTTTTGTTTAACATTGTACAACTTTTAATAATAGAATATGTCTAAAGTTTTTGACAGAATAACATTGTTTTGGTTATTATTCTTCTAAAATGAGTATTCTTAAATTGCTCATTCAATTGGATGGTTGAATGTTCAAATTCATTGTGTCAATGGTCTTGCATGTTTGCTTGCTCTTATACCATTTCTAATCAATTATGTTTGTGTTGATCCATCAAAATACTATAAATCAATTTACATATCCATCCAAATTATATTATTTTTTAATATACCTTAATAACTTATTTTACAATATTCCTCCTAAAATAAAGTAAAGATCATGATAATGTGTATAAATAGATTCAATAAAATTATACAAATTAGATTGAATTGATTTTAATTACATCATAAAAATTACATTCTTGTCATTTATAGATAATATGCTATAGATAATATTGGATGTAAAAAATGTAACTAATTTTATAGTTCAACTAATATGATATCTAATTTTATAGATTCTAAATCCAATCATTCTATTTAATTTAATTTCTTAAATCATTATTACTTATTTGCCATCATCTAATACATGTAAAAATATCTATTTTATTAGACTTCAATATATTTTTACATGTATTTTATTTTTTAAAAAAAGCTACATTAAATATATACTATTCTCCTATTAATTAATATCATGTGTTTCACAAAAGAATACTTTTATCTTAAAAAGAATATAAAACCTTGCAAAACTAAATTCAAGATTATGTTCTTATCACAACAAAATTACAACATGCACTATCTTGACATAAAGTAGCTTCTTTTCTTTTTTTTTCTTTTTTTTTTTTAAATAAGAAGAGAAGAGGAATTCCTTTTTAGCTGAAAATGCAAAAAGGACATGGACCACATAAGGAGTGAGTACCATGGAAGGGAAGGGAATAGAAGAGGAAACCCTAATTGGACTCCTCCCCGTCCGTCCTTCGAGGGGCGAGGGGGGGGGGGGGGCTCCTCGCTCGCTGGCTTTCGCACTCGCACTGGAAGTGGCGCTGGCGCTGCGGGCTACTCCTTGTACAAGCAGAAGAAGAAGAAGAAGGCCACGCATCTGGATGCACGCGGGGATCCCTTTGAGGACATGCCCCACGAGCACGATTACCGTCCGAGATTAGCGCTCGTGAATAATAATTATTAAGGGCGCAAGCTTCGTTCGCGCTCCCGTGCTGCACAGTTCCTGCTGCTGCGACCATCGGGCTTTTCGTTTGCAACAACTCTCGGATTGCTTGCTTGCTTGCATGCTCCGTCTCCCTCGTCGCATCGCAATCCCCTTGATCCATGATTCTCGATCCTACTCCAGCCTCCACCTCGCCCTCTCCTTGACCCCCTACGTATGCTTCCATCACACACGCACCCCCCCCCCCCCCCTTTTTGTTCGTGCTTCTTTGCTGTTTTTCTGGCCCTGGATTTTGTCGATCAGGTGAGTAAAGGGGGGTGGTTTGTGTTTGTGAACCCTACATGTGCTTTCTGCGAGTGGTTTTGTTCGCTGAGGGACGGTGTTGCGTTGTAGGAGTGATTTTCTGGGTTCTCCTTGATCAATGCTGGCTCGATCAGAGAGCAGGTTCAGAATCGGGGCTGGTGTTAGTACTGGGTTGATTAACTGTGGGTGGGATGAATTAGCGTTGCTGGTATGATGGGAATGGGGGTGTTTTTATTCAGATGTGATTGTAGAGGGAATATATTTGTGATAAAGGGGGTTTTACAAACCTAAACGTCGGTCTGCCTATGGTTAGTTTGCAGATTTCCTCTGTTTTTAGGAACGATTTGCACTGATCCTTGTGGAGGCCAGTGTTTTTTGAGTTTGAATTAGAGTTGATTACAACTTGTGTGACCAGAAGCTGGATAGAGTGATTCTGAAGTTGGTAACCTTGGGCTCCTATCCTGGTGTAGCGCTGTTGATTCGCTTTGAAAGTAAAAGTCGAGCATAACAGCTATCATAAATTAGCATGGTTACAATCGTCAATTAGTAAGCATGTTCACTCAGTTCTGACAAGCTGGGTTTTATTTAGTTCGACAGCCTAACAGAAATAACCCAGTTGTTCGTTTCAATTGCCAGAAAATTTGGAAAACGTTACTGTTCAGGCAGCCAGCACCATGGCAGACGTAGCAGAAGCTGAGCCCTCACCTGGACTCCCTGCTGCTAATGAGGATCCAGTGCCACCTCGAGCTGGCTCTGAATTGTCCAAATCTGATCAGAAGTCTTCCACTGGTGATTCCCCGAACGCAAAGCAGCGATCGTTTCCTTTTTCTCGCGGTGAATCCACGAAAGTTTCCGAAGGGGGCATCGAAAAAGCTAATCCGACCTCAGGATTTTCTCAGTGGGCTAGAGGATTTCGATTGCCGTCATCCTTTGGAGCATCTTCTGGACCATCTTCAGGTGGAGAGGCTCCCAAAGCGTCACCATTCAGTATGCTCACAAGTGGGTTCGGAAAGCGTGGGTCTGGAAAAGCACCTGTAGCTGAGAGCACCGCATCAGATGTCGGCGATAGCTCAAAGAAAACTCCTGCGGTGATTGGTGAAGTACAAGAGAGTAATGCCTTTGACAGGTTTGCCAACGGTTTCCTTGACTCATCGAGGAATGCTGTTAGATCAGTTCAACTCAAAGCCAGACATTTAGTCTCTCAAAACAAACGGAGGTTCCAGGTATCGACCTCTTTCTTTCTTTACTAAGTAACTAAAATTTGCCTCACACCGAAAACGTTCTTTAATCGCAACAGTGAAAGGGGACGAATCTAATTTTCTCGACTGTTGCTCTTTTTTGTTTTTGAATATTTTTTTATAAACGAATATTAGCACTCTTTGATCCTCCCTTTCTTATCTTTTAAGATTGCGCCAGAAGCATCAAATTGAGGTCTATATGGGCATATTTTGAATCATTTTCGTTCAATCCCATGACTGAACATGTTAAACTCGTCTTCGCTTGGAGATCTGTTCAATTCTAATTTATACATGATCGATCCTATCAGGAAGGAGGATTCGACTTAGATATGGCGTACATCACCGAGAATATTATCGCCATGGGCTTTCCTGCTGGGGATATTAGTTCTGGTTTTCTGGGTTATGTGGAGGTACCTATGAGCCGAACTGATTTTTATGCTATCCGAATCGTTCCTCATTTGCCTAGTACATGTAGTTCGCGTTGGCGTATTATTTCCGGGTCTTCATCCTTTTTCTGATTTAACCTATGTCAAGTTTCTTTATAACCTATTGCAGGGGTTTTATCGCAATCACATGGAGGAGGTCTTGAAATTTTTTGAAACTCACCATAAGGTACGCATGTTGTGAAGTTCTTCTAGAGGAGTCCTATTCTTGAATTTATTTTAAATTCTTTTGTGAATGAACCTTCTGTAACTAATCTCACCTCTATTTTGTACCTTTGTTTTCACCGTGCAGGGCAAGTACAAAGTGTACAATCTTTGTTCGGAGCGGCTCTACGATGCTTCACTTTTTGGTGGAAAGGTGGGTTAACGCTTTCCGTTACAGTGCTGTCACTTCCATCATAAAGACAGTTGTTTGTTTTGCCAGGCAATAAACGGTGCTCAACTGAGTATATTAGTATAAATTGGTTTGCTACCGAAATTAAGTTGATTGCCATGCCAAGTTACTTCAAAGCAGTGGAAACCTTTAAGTATTAAGTGTTATTTTCTTTTTAAATTGAATGGTTCGTAATACTAGATGGTGCGTTACCGTTGCAGACGCTTACTCTGTATATACTTCCACTCAAAGTTCTTGTCACTATGATGACAGGTGGCATGTTTCCCCTTCGATGATCACAATTGTCCTCCGCTACAGTTGGTGGCAGCGTTTTGCCAAAGTGCTTATTCATGGCTGAAAGGTGATCTTGAGAATGTGGTTGTGGTTCATTGCAAAGCCGGTATGGCTCGCACTGGCCTTATGATCACTTGTCTGCTCATGTATCTGAAGGTACTCATCTTATCCCTCAGTAGGCCTCAGATGATCAACGACATTGAGTTTATAGAAGAATTTCTTGTGGGCGTACACATGGTTATATAACAAGAAAGCTCCCTGAGAGTCTTGATTCATATACTGTACAATTGTAGTCATCTAAGCATAATTTGATGATGATTCATAATTTTTGTTCTCCCCAAAAGTCTTCTGAAGCTGAAATAGAATGAAGAAAACGACTTGTATACGAATCAATTTTTTAAAACAGCTTTCTCACTCAGATTGGTGTCATTATGTGTGAATATTCTGCAGCCGCAGTCGGATTGTTGGGAGCTTCTTTGTTGTTCACTTACAACCAGTTGCTGTGTTAGTTATTTGGGAGATCGAGTTTGACTTAGAGCGTCTTGACATATTTCTGTGTCTCTTTACATCGTGTCCCTCTTTACATTATGTTTCTGTTTCGCAGTTTTTCCCTACCGCAGAGGAGTCCATTAACTACTATAACCAGAAACGTTGTGTGGATGGCAAAGGCCTTATCCTTCCTAGTCAGATTGTAAGTCTCTTAGTTATTTGATCTGGAATGTTAGCAATCTAAATGTTTATAGGTCTTCAAAGACAATCACTATCATTCATAGGTGTTATGGCATGTCTTTTATGGCAGATAAGCTACATTAACGCACTTTTTTTTAATCCCAAACTCCTTCGAGAAGAGTGGCTAATTGGCTAAGTTTTTGCTAATTATTTACCGTAACATTTTGTGATAGATACAGCTGCTATGTAACAGATTTATGATTAAGAGATATACATCTATACATTTGGATAACGTTGTTCTTGATTTTCACAGCGTTATGTGAAGTACTTTGAGCGTGTAATGAGAGAGTTCAAGGGAGAGACTCCTCAAGGCAGAAAGTAAGCAATCCACGATTGTATCATCCACATACTTGCAAATTCAAGTTCTATTACAGAAGCATAGATGTGAGATCGACTCCCTAATCTTTGTTTTGTATTTCGTTCTTGATGCTGATAGGTGCATTTTGAGGGGTATAAGGCTGCACAAATGCCCTTATTGGGTGCGGCCTGGCATCACCATCTCTGACCACAATGGTATTAGCAACCTTCTCAGACTCTACTACTTTGCTCATTTCTGATTTTGTAAATATATTTTAGTTATGATTTTTTCAAGCTTAGTTTAAACAAATGTGAAGTCAAGTTTCATTCTTAGTATACATGAAAAGATATTTGGATCACTAGAACTCCATTGTTCGCCACAATTGAGGGGTGATTTGTATTTCTAACCTTTTGAACCCGTTACTTGTCGACCAGGTGTACTCTTTTCAAGCAAGAAACATCCTCGGACTAAAGATTTGCTGGTTAGTAACTGGAGCTAATCTATCTATACTGATTTTATGGATGACTTTTTTTAGTCAAAGATTCCTGTTTTGAGATCTTTATGAGACGGGCATTCTAATCCTTGAGTGAATATGAGTATTTAGGATCTCTGCTTTGTTAAAACTTTGTTTAATATAAGGTGGCGTCCTTGTGCACAGTCAGAAGATATATGGTTCAATGCACCCAGAAAAGGAGTACTTGTGTTCGCCCTTCCTGGAGAGCGATGTGTGGCAGATATTAATGGGGACTTTAAAATACAATTCAGTGATCGACATGGCGACTTCTACTGGTGCGCACTTCACTTAACTTCACCAAGTATTTATAGGTTGTCAGAAAATCTCTTGTAAGCGGTGGCTATGCATAGTTCATACATTTGCAAGATCTGGTACAAGAAGTGACTTTACTTTAGAATGACAAATTGTAATTTGCAGCTGGTTGAACACAAATATGATGGAAACGAGGCAATTACTGGGAACCTCAGATCTCGATGGGTTTGATAAGGTAGAGTTTGTCTCTAATCTTATCTTGTGGTTTCAGTGTTGCATTTCTGTGAGTAAGAAATAAAGGGTGTGAGATTTTTCTTGCTGAAGCTATCGACGTGGTGGTAATGCAGAGGCGACTTCCATCGCCAGGTCTTCAGGTTGAAATAGTCATTTTAGACCATGATGCACCCATACCAAAGAAGAAAGCAGCTGAAAGTACAGCAACTCAGTCTGCAGCCGCTGCTAAAGAAGCGTCAAAACCTTCCATTCCTCACGACAATGCGGGCATAAAGGGAGGAACTGAATCATCACAAACCGCTGATGCGAAAGGTATGGGTTATAGTTTCTCAAATTGTGAATGTGCTTACTAAAATTGATGTTGTTTGATATTGCGTAATGTACATGCTTACTTCGTCAAGTACTCTTTGTCCATCAAAAATTTAGAGTTTAAAAAGCCGGTATCCTTCCATACGTAGTTTTCGATTCCACGAACTGTTACTTTGATAGCAGTCATGATATCTGCAGCTTTGTAATCTGAGTTAGCTACTAAAGTGCCATCTCGGAGCCTTCAAGTCTTCTGTGGTCGTGCGTTGGCTTAGGCCGTAGAAGTCGGTAGATTTGTAACATGAAGCACCCAAACTCTGCTAAAGACACCTATGCTGTTGCAGGTAATACATCATCTAGCAACGATACTAATGTACAAGGAGAGTCTGAGGGGACTGTTCCTGTAGCAGTCAGTGCTGGCGATCAACAAGTTGGAGTCTCTTTGAAGGACAGAAGTACAGATGATACTGAGAAAGTAGAAGGATCCAAGGGACAGGGTAAGACGGAAGCTGGGTTGACGGCTCACAACGACTCGAAAGATTCTGGAGTGCTCTCTAGGCATAATGAAAGTCCGAGTGGTGGAGCAATTGCACCTAGTGATTTCAAGGCTATTGCTGCAGCCAGTGCTGCAGATGCGTCAGTCTTCACGTTTGGTGATGATGATGATTATGACAGCGAAGAGGAACTGCAGTAACCGTTTGGAAATTATTCTTTGAAGATTATTTGATGGTATGCATCTGGAATGTCTTGCTGCAGCAGTTCAAGGACCAATAGTAGAAGGCAGTGCCTACCTTGAATTGGATTGTTAGTAACTGTCCATGCCAACTTTGAAGAGGTCCTTAGATTGGCTGATCTGCATGATCAAACATACTGCAGCAGATGTCCTTTTTCTGATGGAAAATATCTGATCATTATGGATAGAGGCAGCGGATCTGTATTTCAAAGAATGTCAGGTGGTTTATATTAGCGAAGTTGGCAAGTTTGTCATTATATTGGGTCTAGTGAGTTTCGCCAGGTTTCAGTTTCGGAATTTCCTGCATGGGCAAATAAAAGGATTTCCCAGTTCCGATACATGTATTGTCTAGGTAGACTGTAGATGGCAGCATCGGTCTTGTACAAAAGGGAATTTAATGTCAGGCTGAGCTTGTCTTTCTACAACCAAGTGTTCTTATATGGTGTGCTTTTCTAGCTTAAGACCTTATATTGTATTTCTCTACACAACCACCATGTGTATACAGGTGTATACATATTGATGAATCAAAAAAAGCAATTTGGAAATTTTATACGGCAAAATGATAATGTAATTTTACAATCAGTTTAGAAACATGCTATGAAACATTATGCCACATTAGTTGTTTACTATACGATACCTACTTATTACTTATGTCAAGGTTGCTTCATGTGGTGTTTAGTATGTTATTAGGACACTTTTATTTTTTAGTTGTGGGAATGTGTAGCTAACAAATCATTGAATGATATGTAGGAAAAGTTTATCATTCTAGTATATGGTGATAATTATGTCACCACAAGATAATTTAAACATAAAATCTATGACTTAGGTTAATAAGTAGAATATGTCAATATATATCGTACTATAATGCATTAAGCCATTTTTGGTTATCTATGTTGAGAATAAAAAAATCAATTATGAGTAATTCCTTTGTTAATATTAATATGACAAAAACACCTACAAACTTACTCAACTAGAATACAACCTATACTACAATTCTTATTTAAGTTCTTTTTTATATTGAACCAAAGTTTTCATTTCTTACATATTATTTTCTTTTTAAAAAATAATTTAATAATTTTCAATATTTCAATTTAAAAATTTGTTCATCCTTTAGATATCTTACAAAGTAGCTTAGTTTTAACTTTACAAATTTGTGAAATTTGCATGACTTCAAAACTTACAATGTATAATCTTGCTTCGGATGATCACCACTACCGAAAATGCAAATTTTCGGTACATAACTTCAAAACTTACAATGTATAATCTTGGTAGAGTATTAAAAATAATTATGATAATATATAATTAATTTGATCATTGAAACAATACTATTTTCTTTAAAGAATTTTATTTGCATAAGAACCATATAAAAAAGTTAGAAATGTTCTAATGAATTCTATATAGATAGATGCTTTAAAGAGGTAATAAACAGAAGAAAGAAAATATGTTGCTTTCAAAAACAATTATGTGATCTCCTTCCCTTAATCATAATAAAGCTATTATAACACCCTCTACATTACTTTTAGTTGGAAGAAAGAACTAAAAGGTGAACAATTTAAGAATCATCCACATTTTCTATAGTAAGCAGACCCTCCACCACTTCCACTCTCATTATTTCTACATGTGTTAATACATCATAGCCTCCAAAAATTGTAAGAAGGAAAAAAAAAAAAGAAAAAGAAAAAGAAAAGAAGAAGAAGATGTACATTCTCCCTAAACATAAGATGTGGCTACAAATCCTAATATATTCCAAGACCCCCAAAAGAAACTACCACTTCAGTAGGAATCCAGAAGCTAGCAACAAGCATCCGTCATCTGCATTGAATATTTTGTTGCCCTTGTTCTGGCAAAAGATTGTAGTTATACTTACTTGGTTACAAAGTGCTCTGAAATGGAAATCGGTAGAGTACCAGAAGGGTGGAGAATGGTTTGGCAGTGTCCCCTCAATTACTTAGCAAAATTCTTGTTGATGGCAATTTGTTGATGAAAGTTAAGAACTTATGTTGCTGGTTAGGAAACATCGAAACATCTGGAGTATGTGGATGGGAACAGCTTCTCCCTCTACAGTCGAAGTCTGTTGTCAGTAACCCACTCTATTGGTCACCGTCGGAAGTATTGTAACCTTTTCGCACTGCAATTGATGTATTATATGAGTACGATTCTTCGGGGAGGGTGGCCATCTGACTGGGAAACTCTTTTCGGTAGTGGTGATCATCCGAAGCATTTTAGTTGTGAGGAAATTCTTTGTGGAGTTAGTGAGGAAATTCTTCGTGGAGTTAGATTACTAGAGTACAGAGCAGTAAACTCCAAACTTAGGTGTTGTGGAAGCTGATATTCGTGTATATGCAGTAATCACTACTGATGAGGGAGATGGGTAGATTGTGATTAGGAAGTTTTAGGGGTTTTACTGTTATGGAGTGGGACTAGGTTTGAAGGTGCTGCAGATGTCGCAGCTTTCACTTCCATAAGCATCAGCGCCCTCCATGTGCATCACCCCACTGCGCGTAGTCGCAGTTAAGTGTCCTACTTCCATCTCATTTCGCATTTTGATATAAGAGATTTTTGAATACTTGGGATTTCCCGCCGTCGATGATTAGCCCACATCTGTCGTCGTCTTTCTCGAAGAGTTAGTTTCTGGGGCTTTATAGAAACATAGAGTGTCGTAAGAAGCTGAATGCAGCAGCTCACAATTGAGCTGTTTGCAAATGACTACAGGTTCAAAATCTGGAACGATTGGGTTCACAAGTCACCTCAAAGTTTTGCTACTTCGGACAAACTCGTGGATGATGGTGTCGGCAGCAATATTATCGACAATCACACTGTGTCGTTTTTCATTCTTAAACAAAGTCTCTGCATTGCAATCGAAGTGGCCTTCATTGATTTCTATTTACAGTGCCGTCATCAATTGAAAACAAACGCCGCAGTTTTCCGACAAACGACATGGGCTCAAAGTACTTTGAAACGTATTAAAATATAGTGATGTTGATTGGGATATGCATCAATTTGTCCCATGGTCCAGTGGTTACGACTTTGGACTTTGAACCCAAATACCCGAGTTTGAATCTTGGTGAAAGTATTTGCTTGTTTATAGTTCGAGGCTTTCAACACTTTGGCATTAGTATTTTTTGAAGCAATGATAAAGGAGCGTTCAATATTACGCAGTCAGCTCTTGAGTTAAAAGTTATGAAAAATGAAACTGTCCAAACCTATTAATAGTTTTTACATGTTATATATATATATATATATATATATATATATCCTAGATGAATATTTATTTTTATGTTTGTTTGTTTGTTTGTTTTTTATTCCGACTTCACCGCACATTTGAGAACTCTGCGAGGCCTGAGTGCTGGAAACCCTAACCATGTCCATTATTTTAAAGCTTGCCTAACCTCAAAATAAATCGAATTGCCCAGATAACATAAATGTTTTCGACAGCTTACGGCATGGAGCTTATAGTTCTGACTGATACAACTGGAGAAGACCGCATGCCGTTGGTTGGGTGAGCCATCTCGTAGTGCATAGTCCAACAGAACAAATGAAAAGAGCCTTGGACTCAAAGGATCCTTTGTCAAGAGTCATTAGATTCCAATACTAGCGACAAACATTGTTGCTGCTGAACAATACACTGGAGCATAATGGATTTTGGAAATAACATGCAGACGATGAGGTTTATTGTGATGATGGCATCAACTGTAGCATTTCTGTTTGTAGTCAATGCTCAAGCTCCCGCACCTCCACCCCTTACGGATTATACTTGCAGTGCTAGCGTAAGCAAGCTCTTGGCACACAGCCAGGATCCATGCGCTAACACATCGTCATACGCAGACCTTGGAACATGTGCAAAATATATGAATGATTCTGAAGTATTACCCTGTCTAGTATTGCCTGAGAGTTTGATAGGTGTTGACTATACACCCCGCGTGTTTCTGTAAAGTCACCTTCCTCTCAAAGGTTTTAGATCCAAGCCAAGTTTGAGCATTAACCCGACATCTGCTTTGCAACATCACCGACAATCTCGGCGCCTCCTGCAACATATACGTGAACGGTGTCATACCTCAGTCAAGTAAGAATTTGACCCCTTGTCTTGCTGGCTTGAATTTATTGTAGCCACACCTTCTTTTTTTTTTTTTCAAAGCTTTTAGAAACGTACTACCTCGCTGCGTCGGTGGGTCTAGGCAGGCGTAGATTGTGCACAAGAATGTACTAGGTGACTCTTCTGGAGAATTGTTGCTTCTAGTGGTCGCGACATTCAAAGAGACAAATTTATCTTGCTAGATGGCTTCCTGTCTACAGCAAAAGGAACTTCAATTGCAACGAGTGTGATCATCAGCAGCCTCGTTGCGGCACTTGTCCTAATTGGATGCAGCGCACCAATCTGTATGTGGAAGAAGTTTTTTCGTAGATACTATCAGAAAGAATATGATCAACAATGTCATGGTACGTAGCTTTAGCGCTCTGTTGCATTTCTCTTTGTTGTTAGATATCGACAGAGATAACGCCACATGAACTCGTTAATGGCATCAACAGATATTAGAAATATGGAAGGAAGGCCTACACTATATTTGTAACACGTTCTACGATAAGCCACGTAGAATTTCAGTCCAGAAAAAAAGCTTGGAGAGGCCAGGTTTGGCTCTGTCTTTAAAGTACATGGAGCCTTCTGGATATATTTTGATTTTAGGCCTTGAATGCTAAGGGCTTTCTGTTATTTGTAAGACGAATCAAAGTTTTGTGTAGGTGACACAATGGTCTTAGAATTTTTCCATTTTTTTGTGGTCATTTCCTTATCAAGATTTGGTGATCAGAATGGCATCAGGGAGTACTACCAGATGGTGCAGAAGAGGTAGTGAAGCAGTTGTCAGCTAAGTCTCTACAAGAAAACGAGTAATTTTTCAACGAAGTGACGCTGAATACCAGCAAGCAGCACCGAAATCTTTTACAGCTTCGAGGATGTACAAGTACCTGGAAAACAAGAGCCTTCACCAAGCCTTATTCGGTGGGTAACAAATTGTAATTGGCTTCGGACTTTAAGCATATATGCATGGTAACTGCAGGTTGTTCATAGAAATGGCCAGATTTCCATGTTTAGAAGGGTAACGCATAAGCATTACAATTTGAGGCAACAAGAATGTGTTTACAGATAAACTTTGAGCAATTGTATTAGACGTTGAGAACTACCTTTAGAATAGATATCTGATATGACGCACTTGATTGAGCAGTTTCTAAGGTCAGAGGATCTACAATTCAGTCCAGTTTGTATTTGTCTTCAAGTCTAGAAAGTCTTTGCTTGCAGGTAAGATACCCTATTCTGAAAGCTTTACCGCACATCTCCTGCAGATACGCAGAGGATGACCTTTTGATTGGAAAACAAGACTGAAGATTCTAGAAAGAACGACACGTGGTATGGCATACTTGCTTAAGCGATGTCACACCCGGATTGTGCACAGTGATATCATAGCCAGCAACATTCTTTTGGACAAAGACCTCAATTCTAAGATAGCCGACTTTGGGTTGGCTTGCATCTTCTTCGATAACGACACGCATGTCAACACTTGTATTGCTGGAACAGCATAAGATTAGCATGATCATTTACTACATTGTATAGCAACTATCTTATTTAATGAATCAGTGCGAGTTCATGACCTTTGCTCTAGTTTTGCAGCAATTCAGGTCAGTTTAGCGGTTCATGGTTTGAAGGTTGTAACTTCCGTTACAAAAGTTTATTGATTTGGTGACACATTGGTTATTTAGCGCCGAAGTTTGCGATGCGGGGGCAATTGACAGAAAAAGCCAACGTGTTCAGCTTTGGTATTGTTGCTTTGGAGCTCATCAACAGTCGTGCCAACCTTGACCTCCGTCTTGAACAAGATACCGCCTATCTCCTTGGCTGGGTACGTCTTCTCTTTCATTCCATACTTTACCCGGAAGAAGATGTCACACTCTTTTCAAAATACACCACGTGGCTGACTAACTGGATCTACACCAAAGCAAGCATGGCAATTGTACATAAAAAAAAATTGATGGACCTGCTTGACCCGGCAATAAGCTGGACTCACGATGCTATGGAAGAGGCGGCCCGTGTTGTGGAGATGGCACTCCTGTGCACACATTTGCGGTCGTCAGTAAGACTCACCATGACAACGGTGGTGGCAATCCTCACATGAAGAAATAATGTGATCATTCTTTGAATGTGATCATTCTTTGAATTCTTTGATGTTTTCGATTACAACAACATAGATAAAAAGTAGTGCAGCATGGAAAGAACAAAACTGGGTCTCAATTCCTATGTTCAATCATATCCTTTCCGGGGGGCACATTTGTCAAGTAGTAATAACAACACCAGTATTGTCAGTCCTTTGGAGCCTCAATAGATTGCCAAAAGTACCCACATTTGTTGATTAATTTTCACCTGCACTGATGGTTGCTCCCTACCGATTCATAGAGAGCTTTATGAAACTACCACAAAACATCTCGTCCTTTGATATACTCTCGTGATCTGCATCACAACCGAGTCAACAGTTTATGAAATCTCCGGAACGGCCATTCCTCCTCGTAAGATTTGAATGTGATGCCAATAGTCCCGCTTTGCCGGCCCACAAATCAGGGTCTCAAGCTTCACCTGATTTTTTGTACAATCTTATGTGTTAGTGGTAGTAAAATTTGTGCTGAGAAGAGCTTTCTGCTAAAGGTGTTATTGGTATTTTTGGCCATGTGGGACTCTGAGTGGATATTATGGTAGAACTCGATCTATAACGATTTGTAAAGATTGGAGCATGACTGGAGCATACAGTCCCCCCCCCCCCCCTCCAGTTCCCTGTCCCCTTTTCTCGTCTCCCATTTCAACCCACTCGTCCCTAGTTTCTGACCCCCACCATCCCTTGTTCTTGTTCCAAGTGTTCCCCAAAGTTTCCATCTTCACAATCAAGCAAAAGTCATTTTTGTCTCAATGATTTGTCTCTATGTTTATATATGTAAGTAAATAAATAACCCAGATAGAAATATATATATTTCTCTTTTCCACTTGCACTTGATTGCCCACTCACAACAATTACAAGTGTTTTTAATAAGATTAAGGATCATGTTGATACAACCTTCAGTTGCTCGCTCCAATTTGATGGCACATCTATCTAAAGCTCAAGCTGTTTTCTTCACAAAATCAACATCAACCTTGGTAGCATACTCGAACTCATAAAGCACTTGCATGAGAAACATACTTGTTAGTGTATAAAACATTACAGATATTAAGGTTCTATACTACATTCAATAAACAAGCGTTTTATTTTTTATTTTTTATTTTTTTGTTCCACACTCAGTTGTCTTGGATAATACACTACTTTATGGTCACTTCCACCTTGGAATAATATTAATAAAGGAGCATAATCTTGAACCTAGAAACCACCTCAAAAATAAGGAATAGATGACAAGACCTAATCAAGATTACAATTAGACACAAGTTTGATCATGATCTCCAACTTCTCCATCTTCATGAATATAAGATCATTATACTTGCAAAAAAATGCATGTACACTTTTGTTATATCACAATCTTCAATGCATGCAAAGTCACCATAGTAAAGTGTCTCAAATCCAATAAAATTAGTTCACCAAATAGCTCTCCAGTACTCCCCTAAGCAAAATAATAAAGTGTAAATTGCTTGTTAATTTTTGTAATAAAATTGTTTGTGGTTCTTCTATCACAATGAGAAGTATTGATCTTTATGTTTGTGGTTCTTCTATCACAATGAAAATTGTTTTTAAGATAATTATTGTTTGTACAATTGCTACGGTGGCTGTTTATATTTTAACTTACATGGTTGACTAATTTTTGTTCACTTGTGTGATGAACTGAAGGATTTGAAGATTGTAATGTGCATGTTATTTGTGAAGTTACAAATGGTCTTGTTTGACAATTCTCATCTTTTGTTTTCATAGAACTGCAAGGACAAGCTTTAGATCTTGATGTTGTTTATGGGCATCTGAGAGATGCTTGTACCAACTTCACTTATTGAATTTTGTTACCACACAATTCTTGTTTTGACCATCTGTACATACATTTTACATGTTCTTGTATTGTCTATTTCAAAAGAGATATTGACAGAGTGTGTTGAGTAGAAAAGAAAAATAAATTGTTGATAGAGGGAATCAAACCCATGCCCCTTTGGACTGGTACTTGCAATTCGCATTATTCCACAAATAGTGTGCATTACAACTAGAGAGCTTGTATCCTATGAATAGTGTGTATCATACTTATAAAGAATACACAGTATTTGAATTTACACACTAATTACGGATATTAGTGTAGCTTAATAAGGATCTGAAGATTAGTACATTTTTAGCTTTTCTTTTTCTAGATTTTTTTTTAAATATTTTATTTTTTTATCCATATATTTGCTAAGTAATTTGTACAGGAATTTCACCAATCTATTAATTAATTCTGTAAATGCTTCTAGCCTAAAAATTCTTTCCATGAATTTTTAAATATAATTTATTTTTACAATAAGTGTATTAATATATTTATTTGAGTAGTTATTCAATTTGTTTTTACTTGTTGAAATGATAAAGTATTGGTCTTTTATCTTTTTTAATATATATACTGCTTTTGTGCCCATGTTTCTAGTCACATTTTGTGTGGTTTTGTATAGTTTCTCAGCAAGTCATCATGGATACATTACATGACATAGTCGCTGAATTTTTCCAAATCAGAACATGTGAAATTTAAATATGCTTTCATACAAGGCTCTGGAAAAACCAAAAGAACACAAAAATTTATGACTTTTCATTGGTTAAAGAACACTGTACATTATCTTTAGCTAGAGATTGTTTCAAATGAGCTTGAGATGGTTTTAAACAGATAATATTTATAAAATGTATGTAGTCATATGAAAAATATCAATTTACTTGTGTTTGAATTCAAGAACTTTCCACAACAAACAAAAATTAATTCACCTTGCATGTGAAACGAAGAGAAGCTATTTTGAGAAGCTCAAAAAAATGCTCCGAACAAACAAACAAACAAACGGTATTTATTTTGAAATGCATGTGAAACGAAGCATTTAATTCACATTCATCAAAGTTCAATTTTTTATCACAGCACACGCACAACAGTGTAAGAACGATGAATGGATGGATGAGATTTCACGATGACCAAACAACTGCTGCTGCAAAACGATTCCCCATTCCAGCAGAAGTGAAGCTATTTTGAGAAGCTCAACAGAAGGTTAGTTTGATATTCTCATTCATCAAGCTCAGTATTACACTCCGCACTTGGCTATATTTTGAACCCATGTATCAATACATGTTCATATATATATATATATATGTGTGTGTATGTGTGTGTGTGTGTGTGTATGTATGTATGTATGTATGTATACACACAGACAGAGCCTGAAAGAAGTGAAAGAATGATCCATTCCAAGACGATGTTGAAGATTGAGAAATCTGCATGTCGCTGGATGCATTTGACGGTGCTCTGGGTTTGTGGGTTGCGAGCAAACTGAGCTCAACATCATGTTTATCGATCCTCACCCCCTCCTTAGAACACAAAAGGAGTACAACATGTTTGTTGTTTCGACTGGTAGAATCGCTGAATGAGCAACCTGAAGGTTGCGGTTTTGATGCACTGATTAGCAGGTGGGTGGTGAGGATGCGTGGAAGCGTTCTCTCGTGAGCAGTCTGGTTTCGTTTCACATGCAAACTTGGTTGAAAGATGCTTCAGTGATCGACGTTTCGGAAGTGTGTCCCCGAGTTCTTATCCATCCGGTCAAGCCGGAAACAGTATAATTCCTTGTCGTGGAAGAATGTTTTTTGCTTTTCTTGCACACTTCTGCGGCGGTGTGGTGCTAGAGTGTCGGAGTTTGGATGGCGTCACATGTGTTGCTGTGAGCTTTCTTGCTGCTGAGTGATCAGCGTCTCTGTCTTGTCCTTGGGCCCCCGCGATCCTTCCCAACCGACACACTTAATTTTGAACGTGGTTCCTGTCTGTACTCAGATGCATCGGGATCAGTGTCGGCATCTCTTCCTATCTCTTCACGAGGAATTGCCTCGCCCCAGTTTAAATTATCTCGGCAGAGGCCATCGTTGGGGTTTGCATCGTTTGTTGCGTTGAGTTTCTTGCGAGGTGCTTGGTGACCACCAGACCTGCGAGATGTTGCAAATAATTTTCAAGTCTAAGGAGGCGGTTGGTGTTAGAAACTGTGTCACTGAGCCTACGCAAGTGGGGTTTTAGACTCTGTGAGGGAGCGTCCCCTGAGGATATGGATGCCATGGCAGTATCGGTTGAAGATGGAGTGCAGCACAGTCATGCTGGGCAAGATGAGCAAGCAAGGGTCAGCAACGGTGGTCCGGTGGCTTTCGTATGGAGACTGTGAGGTTTTTACCTTTTTATTTATTTATTTGGTTTTTCTCTCTATTTCCTTTTAGTCTGCATCGCAAACCTGTGACTCTCTGCTATTTACACTTCATAGCTGAAAAAGTTCACGCTATAAATTCCAGCGAGCGATTTCTGTGTTTCCAATGTTGACTGACACTCGCCTAACTCGCAACTCAGCTACACAGGGAGTTCAAATATTCAACTTCCAATTTGCACAGCAAATCCAATTGCTTTTTACACATTTCTTCAAATGATTTATTCAATTTGTTGATGAAACTTGAGCGCTTGAGTAGCCCTCCTTTCTTCCTCCTCTTCGTCTGCTCGTGGTTTTGATGGCAAAACTTGAATCGTGACAATCTGGCTGCAGATTTGCAAGAATAGCAAGCTACATCACCCGAATACGTCGTTTCTTTGTCTTCTCGGTGGCCGTGGGGGGAAATCTAGTACTCAGGGAAGGTGAAAAACAGCCATTGTTCTCTTCTTGCAATGCATTCGTCCGTGAGAAAATCTTTTTTGGGGGTAAATAGTTGCAACGCCTCGAACTAGAACATGCAAGAGGTTGCGTGGTTCAATGACATGAGCTTTTGGGATATTCGCAACTTGAGGCACTCTCCTTATCATATTCTGGATGAAGGGATCTGTCCATATCACAATAACTTATATCTACATTTTCAGTTATACTCACAACGCGAGTAAATGCAGAAGGAAAAATTTCGAAGAACGACAACAAGGTTGAGGAATACATACTTGTGGAAACCCCTGGAGCTTGTGAGCCTGAAATTGTTGAAATAGTTGTCTTTCAGCAGGTAAACGACGTCTCGCATTTGCTCTTGATGCTTTAAGTTACCAACTAGGAGTTGCAGCAGTTAGCTACCAAGTTGTTGTAAGAAACGCCAGGAAAACCAGCGGTTATAACTTTTTCCTATCCTTCAGTTGATATGCATATCAACTGCATATCAACTGATTTTTGTAAGTGGAACGTTTAACTTGCAGGAAGCTATTAATCCTGGTCCTCATAACGTTGATTCAAGAGCGGTGGAGCTCCATCATGAAGATTGCGGAAGCAAACGCAATGCGCCAACCAAGGAAGACCACCAATTACGAGTTTCTGTGGCCCATCACCCAAATCTTGATGTCGAGGAATATGAAGTTCGTGCGAATGAGCCTACATCAGCTATCAGACAGGCCACAACCGATCTTCGCCCAGGGGTGCTAACTTGGGAGAACTGTGACTCGAAGTTTGTGGAGCTATATCTTGAGGATTGTGGAAACAAGTGCACCGTCCATATCAAGGTGGCCCAGGAGTTTGAAACTTGGGACGCTATTAATTCCACACTATTAAGGGCTGACAACCATGAGCATCATACAATTGAACGAACATCAGCCATTGTCCTGCCCACAAACGACCATTACCGGCAAGAACAAATTGTGGCGACCTGTGGAACTGTCGATGTATCACCCCTGGAGCTCAATCTTCATGACCATTCCAAAGCAGACACAGATCAAGCTGACTTTACTCAAGAGAAAATTGCTTCCCAAGAGAAGAAGTTTCTGGATGTTGACATAATCAGCGACAAATGCGTTTTTCTTCAATCCCCCTCCCCGCTCAGTGTTACAAATGATATTGCCAAGTCGCGTAAGTGAAAGACTTTCTCAATTGTTTTAAGCCTGTAATTTTTTAACTAAATGTTCACTGAACAAATCCTGGGCAGTCGGGAGCGCATCAAAGCAACCAGACCAGCAATATCTGATTTATTTGCTCAGGTATCAAGGTTAGATAGATGCCAGCCAAGTGTATTGCAATATTACAACGCGTGCCTTATTAACTTTTGAGGTGTAACACGTTTTTTTTTTCCGCTTATGGTTGGGGTTCTTGCCACAGTGAAAGTCTCCTCCCTTGAATCACCGAAGAAGAGCACAAGCTCACCGAAGCTCAACAAATACAATTCCATACAGCAGCTTAATGCAATCGTTGGGGAGCAATTGATCAAGTACTTACAGTTTCTGGAGAGGAGCGTCGTTCCTGGAAAATTGGAACACGCAACTTGGAAGACGACGCAAAGGCGGGCTATCATCTTGGTCACTCTGGTTGCCATTGCAGTGTGGGCTAGAAACGCCAAGCATTTGCATGAATCCATGCCACGCATTAGGGGCTTTGCTATCAATGTACATATCAGGAGCCGCTTGTAACTGGACTATCTTAACGCAGGTTTTTGCAGCATTGTAGAGTAGTGCAGCTCTCGCTGGGGTAAACTTTGCAAGAAAAATGTAGAGACAGTTTTTGTCGTTTGTACCATAGCCTAGAATACCGTTGTCGCATACAATTTCCCCTGAAGTTATTCCTTGATTTAACTTTCATGCCAATGCGTTTGTTTATATTACAAAAATGTAAGCTGGCATTGACTTTACTAGACTTGGCGACATTGTTTACGTTTTTCTATGTGCATTCAATAAGGAATTATCGGATTCTGAAACTTTTCCACAAAAAGCAAAAAAAATTACATTTTCTATTGATATTTACTCATCATTGTTCAGCACATTTTTGTCATCAAAGCATCCGAATACCCATATAAAGTGGAAGTTCTGATCGTGTAATCAGATAGCCAAAACGATATTTTTCAGTATCTTTACTATACATCCAATCGAAAAATATTGAATATAAATATTGTCTCCCCTGTATTCAATAACTCGACTCTGATTATGGTTGTCAAGTCTGGGTAAAGCCCAGCAACGCTATGGGTTCAATTCCCCCAACCATCTACAACTACAAAAAACTACAAGTTAAATTTCACCTAACCTCCTAACTCGGGTCTAACTACAGTGACAGCTCAAGAACCAAGGTCCTATTTCCTTTTGGAACTTCAAAATCCACGGCAACTTCACCAAGTTCTCCTAAGTCTACGATAGCTTTATAGCGTCCATAGTAACCCCGAAAACAAAGTTCACCATATTGTCCGGCTCTTCCATGAAGCCTTGTAGTCCATTCCTCTTTCACAGAGATGAAGCGCTTGCCAGCGGCATTGACACGTTTGTCTGAGTCAACAAGGAAACCATTTTTTCTTGAACATGCCCCTTCCCAGAAACCCCACAGCATGATTCCTTCCACACTTGGGTGAGCGAAGGATTCCCATAACATTACCTTCAATAAAACCCAATTTTCACATCAATAAACATAAGTTTACACAACTATACAGCATGTTGCAGCCGGTAAAACTAACTTCTAGCCGTGCTGCCTTCCTAAACATTCAAATTCATATCCAACATCAAGGCACTTACTATCAAAAGATGTGTAGACAGTTCCTTCAATTTCTGCGTTCATGATGATCACAAAAGCATATAACTCAGACAATCTTCATCTTCTCATCTCTAAACTATATTAACATTTGGCAACAAAGCTCGTCTGAGAGGAGATAGGTTATATGTACCTCAAGGTCATCTGCTCGGATATACTCATTATCTGCTGCAACGTCAATTTCAGTCATCCATATTGGTAAGCCCACGGTACTCAATTTGTCCAAAGAATTACAAATGATTGGACCGATTGGAGTATCAACATGACCCTGCACCCCTATGCCTCCAACTGGTGCACCTTTTTTCATCAGCCACTTAATCTGTTCAACATATTTTTCAGGGGTAGAATTCCCGTCTTCCCCATCTTCTACATGATAGTCATTTACAAAAAGAACAGCCTCAGGATCAAATTGGTGAGCCATTTTGAACATATACGGTAAAATGTCTGGACCCAACCGATCTCGAAAGAAGCATCCGTGAAGCATCTCATTATTTACATCATAATGTTGAAATTTTCCCCTGTACCGACTGAGCAGGTCAACCGCTCGATTCTGTAAAGCGTCCGCCACTTCTGTGGGAGAGAGTGTTTTGAGCCAATCTTGACACGAACAGTCTGCTTCCCAGAAGATGCAATGGCCACGCATTGGTATTTGATGTTGCAAGCAGAATTCAATCATCTCATCTGCATCTTTGTAGTTGAACTGTTCACAAATCATCGTTATCAGTGCCAAAAAAACGTCCAAATAAAGACGGTAAAAGTAATCTTAACATGTTTTAACTCGGAAAGCTCCTCAGAGTAACGGTGTGTCTTCATGAAAGCATAAACATCACGTCTGTTTACACACCAATTTTGGAGAAGATGCACAGAAAGAGCGGCCAGTAGAAAAACAAAAGATATACCCGGACAACTACGAAGGGTAAAACAAGGTTTGCTGTGAGAAAGAATAACTGGTACTGCATGGAAACTGTAGTAACAAAGTTTACAAAAATCATTTTAGTTAAGGAATATAAGAACTCGAATGCTAATCTAGAAAATAGGGAAATAAGCTCACAATGCCACGTTGTGGTTCAGTCCAACCCCATTTGATCTCATTCTCGAAAACTGCCCAGTTGAAGTTTTGGAGGAAAAACTGCTTGTAGCTGTTATTGTCCAGACTCCAACGGTTGATGCAAGAACCTAGTGGAAAACTCCTGCTCGTCTGCTCAATCCTCACAGAAATGCCAGACGGAACGGGGCAGTTGTTTCCATTTTTTAGTTTTAGAAATACATCTCGTTTCCGGACCTGCAGAGACAACTGTTTATGAGAAAGAGTACATGAACTGGACAATACTTGTGACTCAAGAGATTCCCGTTTGTCATAGGAGTCGATATGCAGTCAAAACCTACAATGTAGTATAAAACAAACTCTTCGCGTACCTTATCTGCTTGAACCTTCAAGATTGGAATACGAGCGCTTCTGTCGACCGCGAATATTTGCAATCCTGCCACCAATTTTACATGTTACTTGACGTATACCCCAAAATATCTTAATTGAAACATACCCACAGTACAGGTGATGATCATCAGAGAAGTGTACTTCACTGATGGGCATTCAAAAAAATCTTTAGGTAAGTTCGGATATCACTGGCCAGACTAAAAAGAAATATCTTAAATTCAATAATATACTTTGTGTAGGAAGACAGGAAGCCATAAAGATTCACTGTGTTGATAATTCAGGCAAAGCGTACACAGAGATGTGAATACTTGGGAACGCGCATACCAGCAAGCATAAGATCCACTCCGGATTCTGGACCTTGAGCATAAACCATCGCATGTTTTGGCTTCTTCTCCAACCGGAATGATCCCATTATCTCTTTCCATGACTTGTCATCAGCTTCCACGTCTCCTCCCGTCACCCACTTCCCATCCAAACTCAAAGCAACATTCACTTTCTGCCCTACCTTACCCTGACATCTTCCAACTCGTACCCAAGCCGAGACTTGATAGGACACATAGAGCTCTAGTTTGTCGGTGATTGTTTGGGCAGGACCTTCCCAAAACTGTGTTCGATTGGAAGCAATAAGACAATATCCACTCAAATAAGGAGGGCACGCTAGAGACATAGCGGCAGCAGGTGGAACAATAGTAGGGGCTCCTGATGCAATGGAAAGCTGTGCACAGCCCTGGCCAAACCAATGTTTTAGACCATGTTTTAGGTCGTAATTCTCCACAATATTTACACCATATTTGGGATTCTGCCACAAGGTCAATTTTTCTTAGGTATTAGTCAAGCCGCTCTGGGACGTAGTTCTGAATCATGATCATAGCAGTAGCTCGTAGAATATACAAACATAGCAGATGTAATGTGGGTTATCACTAATATCTAAAAAAGAAATCGAGAATACATTCACTAGTAAAGGAAGAACACATTGGGCGTTGAAAACTAAAGGAAAAATCCATATCAAAGATTTAAGCTGTCTATATTCAGCAACATGACTCCACTTAATAGACAACGAAGGAACAATATTGATGAGCGCCTCGTGTTCTAGACATGCTGAGCTGCTCCACATGCACTAAAATGAGCTCATGGAAAAGTCAAAATGGTTTGCGAACACTCAATTGCACTGCACAGTTGCTATGATAAATAGACGAAATACTTACCGTAATTACAGGGGGCGCAGCTGCCTCTGGTTTCGATGCAGGTTGAATGAGAAAGCTGTCCACAAGAATATCTGTTCCCGGAGGCGGACCCTCTAAATAAACAGATGCTATAGCAGGTGCTTTCAACAATATCAGCCTGCCCTTCAAATATTTCCACTCCGTGGAGGTTGCCTCTATGCTGCACCAACATTAAATTGGAGTGTTACATATAGTGTTATGGTGAATTTGGTGGAATAATTAAACATCTGACGCTTGTGGTGATCATCGCAACAGGTACAATAAACCATCTATCTAAATGAATACAGTTGGGATAAAGAAGTTGAACTCCTCGCACAAAACCCATAGCAATATGTGCATTTTCAGATTTCAGATCGCCTCTATTCGAATGCTTCCAGTGACATCAACTACTGCGCAAGATTTAGATACAAATCCTAAAGACCTGATAAACGAAGAGAGTATGATATATGCCTGCCCTCAATACCCAACGATAATTGAACATTTTATCTGAATCTCTGGTGAACATATCCATATCATCATCAGGTAATGATTCAACGGAACTTTTCACGAACTTCACGTTACTCTCTGTGAGATAAGATAAGACAACTTAACATCAGAGTATCCCTAGTGGAGCCAGAGCTCATGCTGGAAAAAGAATTTCGTAAATAAAGACAAACGTTTGTTGAACTACCAACCTTCCCATGGTGATGTAACGCTCGCTCTTGTCAGCTTCTTGAAGATAGAGAGAAGCCCGCACAGGTGCCCTGGAACAATTGCCAGACATGCGGACAGTAGCCACAACGTCGTACATAGTCTCAAGGTTAATCCGATTCGTGATGGTCTGCTCAATACCAGACCAGGTGTCTGTACGTTGGGTTGCCACGGCGAAAAATTTCCCCTCCAATGGGAGAACTTTCGAACCCTCTAAGGAGTCACACACGAGACCATTGCAGCCCTTAAAGTTCCAATTTTGCAGCCCATGAGCAAAGGTTGCATTTTGTGTGATGCTTTCAGAAATTCGAATTTGAGTATTGTGTTCTTCTACCTTTCCACAACACAGAACTAAAAATGTCAGTTTCAGACGCATTTACCTGAAACCCTCAAAAAAAGCCTCCCAATACACCGTCTGAAAATACTGAGGTGATCCAAACCAATTTATGAAAAGAATATAGATACTATAAGTAACAAATTTATACGAACACAAACGAAACTGAGGTAGACTTGAAGATCCACGTCTTCAACCAATTAAACGGTTGTCATGCTCGCTCTCACCTCTCTCTCTCTCGAAACGTTCGTCCAATGTTCTTACCTGTTTCATAGCAGACGATCCTTGACACTGGGGCGGATTGGGACGTTTGATAACGACTGTGGACACTAGCAGATCAACACCATTGGGAGGTCCTTCTAAATAGAAAATGGCCGCTCGAGCAAGTGAATCCAAGTTAAACTTGCCTTCGAGCAAAACCCATTCCGTGTTCGATGCCTTCACTCTTGCAGGTTGTCAGTCATCCATCAAGGACAGAATTAATTCATTACACACAAATGAACCATGATGAAGCACAAGGACACTCAAAGTTCATCGTCTGAAAGTAATTTCAGTATCACAGATTAAGAAGGAACAGGGATACACATGATTCTTCAGCATCCTTACGACAGCTAAAGTGAAAAGGTCAGTACTGGGTAATTAAAAGTGAAGACGGCGCATACCTTCCGACAGGTATGTAACGTATGTTGGAACCTCCGAAGTCAAGTTTAATTGTGGCCGAAACATTAGGTATTTCATGAGAACTCCCTGTGGTACGGACCATCGCTGCCAAAAGGTAATTTGCATTAGGCTGCACTAGATCGGTTATATTTTGCGCGATCCCCTGCCACCCCTCTCTCCTATTCAATGCTACAGCAAAAGGTTTCCCACTTGGACCCTTGATGCCTTTCCAATCATTTACACCTGAATGCATAACTTGGCACCCTAAACCCCACCATCCCTCGAGTCCAGCATTGAAAGTAGGGTTGACAAGGACATTTCCTCCAACATCCGGCTCTTTTAGTTCAGAAGTAATAGAAAAACGGCTTGCAAGTATATCGACTCCCCCTGGAGGACCTTCCAAGTAAACCAAAGCTTTGACAGGTGCTGCGTCAATTTTCAACTTGCCCTTTAGAACCGCCCACTCTTGTTTCGAGACTGGACCGCTGCACAAAGGGAAAATATCTATTCACAATACGATCGTAATCTTCAGGTGACAAAGCACCAATTGCGAATGTCGAAAACACATCATGAGAAAAAGAAATGCGCAACGAGCGACAAGGAGCCAAGGTAGAGGGCAGTAACAGCAGGTAGTCTACATAAAATCTACACATTCCCAATTCTCTACTACACGCATCGTGCCTCTGAAAACTGACTGCATGGGTTAACTTCAGAACCACTCTCAAACCAATTCACTCCTTCATTTCCCCCTCAACTTCAAAACTTTTGTGCACTATGCATTGATAAATGCAGGTAAAAGCACCGCACCTGGCAAGAGAAACGTAAGACACATTGTTCCCTGCATTCTCCAGCTTCAATGTGACCCGCACATCAGCTAGCTCAACAGGGCCGGAAATGGAAACGCAAGCTTCCACATTGTACTCCAAACTTACCTAGACGAAGAGTGAAGTGAGTTGGTACACTAAACAAAAAAACAAATAAAAACAAAAAAAGAGCCTCACACCATCATGAAGCACGATAGTGGACTGCCATACGAGCTTTCATGAGCCAATTTTTTAGTGCTTGCTGTACAATTCTAACCTTTATTTGGTTAGAAATGTCCTGCATAATACCCTGCCACGCTTCTTTCCGATTGTGTGCAACGCAATAAAATGGATGTCCACTTGGTGGACGCCCGCATTGAGGGAGTGTATCGTTGATCGACAAAGAGCAACAAAGGGGCTGCCATCCATGGTCTGAGCCCCATATGAATGTAGGATTGACAATCAAATCAGTCACTTCAGCCATGACACCTCGTATAGACAGTCTCCTTCTGATAATTTCTTGCGTCAATTTGGCAGCTGATCTGACAATGTTCCAAGCGGCCGGGACACTCAAACTAGCTGAAAATTATCACAAGATGAAGATCTTACGTTCTGAGACTTTCGACAGCCTTTACCAACATGTACCTGTGATCTAGGCACCAAGTCAAGCAAAATGAGATTGCAGAAATTGTTCACGTTAAATCACAGTATACAACCCCTCCCTCGCAAAATCACATCATAAAAGTTGCCGATTCCTATGCAGACTTCTACCCACAATGTTGGTTTCAAAGAGAAATAAAATCGCCTACGTCTTTCTAACAAAGGTATATCAATACAAAGGCATTTGCAGGGACATCAGGTGAATTCATCCTGGTTAACGCAATAGAAAATGGTGGCGATGCGTGGTCCGAAACAAGTCGGATAGGGGAGGTCAAGAGTGCAAAATGTGTAAGAATCACCTCAGCGGCATTCCACATCAAGGGAAAACCTCTTCGGTCCGAGGAGGATCATGAAACTCGTACAAACAAACTCATCATTATTGTTTCTTTTTTTTTTTTTTAATTTTTAATGTTTTTCTCACAGATAATCATCCACACACCAACTAAGTCATCGAGAACATGTTCTATGGTACTGAAGCAAAATAGGTGCTGGGGACGCCAAACCATAGGTACATCCAAAAATCTCCCTAGAACTATCGAATCAAATCCGCTGCTAAACAGTTCAATACACCACAGTTGACTAGGTTCTGAATCAATAGAACACAAGTAACATCACAATTCTGAACACAAGCACATGATCATCAAAAGAAAAATTATACCCAATCCCCATTTAGATGCACTAAAACAGAGTCGCATTACACAATATCTGAGCTCACAGCACTCATTCTCACAATCGGGAAACTAGTATACCTCCGCACTAACTACCGACTCCAACCACACACGATTCACGTCCTTAGATCAACTACCTGGCCACTCACAACACCCACCAGGAGAATTCAAATCGACAAATCGGAAAAAACAGAGGTTGAGCAGTCACCAGCCCAGCCGAAAATTGGAGAACTCAAAAAGGGAAGCAGAAACCCACCATCAAGGGAGTCTCGCCGATGTCAATCAGCTCTATCACAACCGCCCTGATTTGAAATTCAGGCCGTGAACCACCAAGAGAAAACGCACAAACGGCCTAAATATGGAAACCCACATAAAAAATAAGGGTGTGTCCACAGCAACGCTGGACAATGATGCACTCCGTGCAGCCGGAATTGATTGGTGGGCTGCCAATCGGCGAGAAGTGAGTTGAGGGGTGCGATCCCAGAGGCCCTAAAATTCGAAGACACGGCCACGTTTCCAAGGAAAGGTACCCCGCTCCCCCTGCTCACTCGGTTCTGCCTCCGATCCTATTGGCGCCACGTAACCTTGCTTTCGTGGCGTCGTCGTAGTAGATCCATCTCGCTAAAGGTCCTTACTGTTGCCAAACCCCCTTTGGCATATGTTTGCTGTCTTGTTGAATAATTCTGTATGTTGATTTTATATGTTTTGAAATTATATTCTAGAATAACAATTGATTGAAAATTGGATGATTGGAATGGGAGGGATAATTGCAAAGAATGTATTGTCGTCTAGAGATGTATAGTTGATCAGGGTTTTTAGTATTGCCATCTTGACTTACTATTATGGCCACACCACTCACAAGCATATTGTAGCACAAAAGCATAATAGAAAGGCACTTAATTTCTTAAAATTAGTTAATTAATTACTTTTTTATTTTATTTTATTTATATATAAAGGTATTTGTAGCATGCACAATGATGACATATGTAGATTGCATTAAGAAAGAAGTTAAGAGCACTAAGATAGATCATATAAGCAATCATTTTACTACAGTTGCTATTAACTTCAATCTTTTGATGGACCTAAACTAAGATTAAAAGTTTCTTGCATCTTATAACTACATGTGAGTCTCTATCTTTATAAGTTTTTTTTTATAATTATGTAGATTTACTTATACAAATAGAACCATAGAAAGTTGTTATGGACTAAGAATTTATAAGAAGTAACCAAACTTTATCAAGATACTATAATATTTTATTTTATGGACAACAAATATGATAATGTCAAACTCATAATTAAGAAGGAAAGACTTAAGGTGTTAATGAAAGGCTCTATCTATACAAGGCATGAATAAGATATTCATATTATTGACGTATAAAGATAGGTAGTTGGAGCCATTTTAAGAAGTTTCTAGAATTGGGACTAAATTGGTGGTCTATATGACATCCACCATAGAATATTTTAAAAGGACTAAAGGCAGTTTTTTTAGTGGGATCCATTGTTAGAAACATTTTAGAAAATTCTAAGATAATTGGACAAAATATAAATAAGACCAGCTAAAGTCATTGGGGTATTTGATCAAATATGGCTTTAGCTTCTTTTTCTCGGTAAAGTTTGGTTTGTATTTTTTGGTTTGTTTTATTTTATTCTCTTTTGCTCTGTTATGCCTTCTATGTTCCATTTTGTTTAATTTTATTTAGTTTTGCTCTGGTTTGCTTTATCTAATATTGTGAGAAAATTTCTCAAGGTATAGGTGTTATTCAATCTCAAGATTTCTTTTTCACATGTCTCATTCAATATGTTATCTTGATTATCTATTAGGTATACATTCCCTCCTTTGATCACCTTGGTTTTAATATGAAGCTGGTTGGAAATTCCAATTAAGATGTAATTTTTTGTAGAACCACAATTCTAAAGCACTCGATATAGCTATTTTCTTAATCCAGCATATCTTTTATGCTACAATTTCCTTGCTAGACTCTACTATTGTAATGTCTTTTCTCCTTTCAATTGACTTCTTAAAGTAGCTTGTAGTAGCCTTAAAACAATACCTAATATGACCATAACAACTATCGTCTAATTAAATGGTGGCTATTGACATACTACCAAAGAACATACTAACATTCACTCTGATACCAATAAAGTGGGACTTTAAGATAACAAATCTCAGATATGACGTTATCTTTGGTATGCCATGATTAAAGGTAGAAAATAAGTAAGTTGATTGCCTAGCAAGGACAATCTCCTTCAAAGATAATAGATGTAAGGTGACTCTTTGTGCCTTTGCATTGAATGAGATAGTAAAATAATCTACTACTAAAGGCTTATTTATAGAGATGACCTTTACGAAGAAAAAAATATAATATAAGCAACCAATATATGTGGTGGTTCCAAATCTTGCCTCAATGATAACAATGACAATTGAAGGAATAAAATAGGCAAAACAACTCATATATGAATATCAAGATGTCTTTCTAACCAACTTACATAGTATTGTGTCACTTTATAGAAGTACGTCCTTTCAAATAAGATTATTCTTGGGACCAAATTGACAAGTTGACCAATTTATTGCCTAGCTTTAAATGAACTTGAAGAGTTACAAAAGACATTGAACAAACTCTTGGAAAAGAGCATCATTTGAAAAAACACAGTGCCATAAAGAATACTTGTACTCTTTGCACCCAAAAAGAATGGTGAACTTTGGCTTTACATCAACTATCAAGGCTATATTAAGTAAACTATCAAGAATGTATATCTACTTTTACGTTGTTGAGATAGAGAGAGTTTGCTTCAAGAAAGGGCTAGGCTTCTAACTACTACTAAATGTTCAATCAAATCTAAGATATTAAAGTTCTAAGTTTATACATATAATTTTTTTTTTAGGGAAATTACATTAATACATAAGCTCAAGTACAAAAAAGACATCCAAATATATGATAAAATATCTAAAAATATTATATGTCCTTAAATTTCTCAAATTTCAATAATTCATATCTCATTATTGGACTGTCCAAATAATATATAAAAAATGAAGCAAAGAAAGTGTTCTCTCCAATTTTAATCACCAATCCTTTGTTGCTTCTTCTAAATATATGTTATGCTCCAAAGAGTGACAATAGGTACAAAATTGATACCTTAACTTTGAGCACCTATAATTCTTTCATAAAAACTTCAAAATTTGCATCCAAATCGTATCCAAAAACCTAAATTTGCTGATCCTAGCCTCCAAAGTTTAAATGACTTCAAAAAAAATTCCTAATCCCTAATAAGAGCTTGAGCAGCCTCCTTGAAGCTCATTGGGCATGACATTCAATCAATAGGGATGAAGATCTTCACCCCATGTTTTCATCCAATCATATCTTGCTTTCGTCCTTTCTAATAAGCCTCCTAATAGTTTAGACTTTCATCTTTAGATTCCAACCTTTTCTAAACTTTATACTAAATATCTAAATCCTACATAATGAAATATTATAATGAAAATAGATACACCTCTAATTTTTATTTTTATTTTATTATTTTTTTTTTATTTCAACTCTCTTTAAATTTATTTGCTAACGACTTTAATCCACATCAAGACTTACAAACATAATATATGTTTTAATTAATTTTTACATACTATAAGCAACTACAATATAATAATGTATAGATGATCTTCTTAAGTAGCTTCAAGATATAACTATCTTTAGCAAATTAGACCTTCAAAGTGGTTATTGGCAAAAACCTATTACAAAAGAGAATATAAAAAAAAAAATAGAATTTTCTATATGCTATGGACATTTTGAATGACTTGTTTTATCTCTTAGCTTCACTAATGCTTTAGCCTCCTTCATGGATCACATGAATAGATTATTTTGGGACCTTTTGAATAAGTACGTAATTGTCTTCATCAATGATATCCTAGTCTATAGTAAAATCCTTGAGAAGTATGAATAATATCTATGGGAAGTATTGTACTACCTATAAGATAGCCACTGTCATGGACATATATTTATTGTAATTGTTATTTAGGTGATATGAATAAGTAGAAGTAGATAAAAATAGATTAATTTCATAATATCTTTTAGAATAGCTTCTTAGAAGCTTCATAGACATCGCTTTGACTTAATATGTGTTTATACTTGATTGATAGGTTAGAAACTTCATCAACAAGTTAACCATGTACCACACATATTGATAGCTTGTGGAATAAGCTAATTATATGGTGCCTACATAAAAAACTTGCCTTGTAAGTTAAGATACGTGTTGTACAAAGTCAACACGTTTTTGGAGGTCCTATAAAACGTCGCCATGTAGCTCTTCAATAGATAGTATATATAGAGGTAAGAATGAAGCCTTCTTCACTCTTATCAATTCCTTTCTTGTTTATAGTCTAGTTTCAAGGGTCTCTAGTTTTCTTGTCTTTTGGCAATAGCCATTCTAGTTTCTTTCTTAATATACATATTTAGTTATTTCTATTTTGTCATCTTTCTTTGAGAAAAGTCTCACTTGTTTATTTGTTATTATCAATTTTTTGTCCTTGACAAATTGATAAGAGTGCACTTATAATATCAAAGCTTTGTCTAATCTTGATTAAGAGTGAATTATCCCTTTCTCTTGATAAGACATAAGCATATTAGTGGTTACAGATTACCCTCTTCTAAATTGATATTGTTCTTAGTATTTTTTTTGATCTCAAGTCCTCTCTTCTATTTGTCTTGAGCAATATTAGACATCTTCTCTTTTCTAATTGTTATCATTGCAGAACTTGTTGAAATGAAGAGTGCAATGGCACAAATGCAAGAGTAATTGAGGGAATTAATGCTTACAATGTATCAACTCAATTTACCACCACAAAAGCAACAAGATTAGTAGGAAGTGAAGATATAGAAATAATTGGAGCCGCTTCAATATCTGTACCAAATCATGTTTCTTCTCCTATGGTGGAACATCCTTCCAGTGTTAGAGAATCAAGAATTACCCTATCTAAGAAGTTTGATGGCACCAGATCAAAGTTTAGAAGATTTATCAATCAAGTACAACTTGTAATTGAACTTCAATTCCAAAGCTATCTAATTCTAGGATTGCAAATTAGATTCATTGGTATGCTTCTTTCAGGTTCAGCATTATCATGGTTTTTATCTTTTTTTGAATGGCAAGATCCAATATTGAATAATTTGGAGGATTTTTTGGCAGAGTTTCAATCTATGTATGGAAAACATGATGTAATTTATGTTGCAACTAACAAGATCCATATTTTGCAATAAGACAATTGATTAATAACGTTGTATGCTTTACAGTTTCAACAACTTGTAACTAATATCAAGTAGGATGATACCGCATATCTTAGCCAATTTCTCTATGGATTACAATATGAGGTAAAAAAATTAATGCTCAACTTACGTGATCCTCAAACATTGAGTCAAGTAATTGACTTTGCTCTGAAGTGTGACAATTGTCTTTTTGGATTTCAATATGAGAACCATATAAGTAAACCTCAATGTTACTA